GCCATCTGCTTCCCGCGATTCAGGCCCCGCCGCTGCTGAGGCACGGAAGGGAATGAGCTCGTGGGGATCGCAGATGGATCTGGCCGTGAGTTTGAAGGGGGGTTTCCCTTTCACTACTCAGGGAACCATGGTTACACAAGTAACCTGAGACGTTTTCTAATTTAGTTCAGGTGTTTATTACAAATGCTATTTTCAGAAAACCAATGAGTAAAAAGGTGACTGGAGTTCATGGTCAATAATCACAAATTTGCTTAATTAGTGACCTAGAAATATTTGTCCTTTTACATCATAACTTACCTGTCTGTGTGTGTGTGTGTGTGTGTGTGTGTGTGTGTTTTAATGCTTTAAATTAATGCTATACTAAAATTGTATCTATCTATCTTTCAAGTAAAACATAAATAATGAACTACTTTGCTTAATAGAATCAAACAGCAGAAACAACACACACACAGACAAATGAAAACAGTCTTACCGTCCACACAGGAAGGAGCCGCTCTTGTTGTCCCAGCAACTTGCCCAGGGAAGCAAGAACACTTGACAGTTTGGGAGCGCTCCTCGATTTTGTTCTTGTTACAGCAGCGGTGGGCTGCAATGACCTCACAGGTTCCCGCTTTGACGTGCACTGAGGAAAAACAACAAGGACACAGAGTCTATTAAAATCAACCAGCTGTTTCAAACTCTCCTCGCCGACAAAGGAAACGATGAGGCGCTAATGCATATTCTGTTGCTGCTGGTGGCTGCAATGGAAATGAATCTGTTGACGTGGATGCAGTGTACAATTTAATTAATGCTAATGCAAGCAGTTTGATTTGTCTCAGGTCAGAAATCAGAAGAAAATGTTCTCTGTGATCAACGGGTTGGGTTTTATGATTCACTTTAGTAATTACAAGTAAAACGGTTAATTGATAATCATGGACATTTCTGCATCTAGAAGGGCCTTTCAGGCAAATTATTTATTCATTTTTTTGTTTTGTTTATCCTTCACCTATGACTGAACAACAGCGGGGATGAACGTTAGTTAGCATATAAAAGAGTGTATTCACAAATCATTTTGAAGCTCTAAATTGAGGAGTTTAAAAAAGAAAAGAGTATAAAAACATTTTGAAAGTTTTAGTGTACCTTTCAAATCAGCCGTAATTGCATTGGTAAAGATTTTCAATTTAAGACTTGAGTTAAAAATTGATTTAAAAAGGGGCCTCCATTTTCCCATTAGCTGGCCAATCTCAAAATCTCATCAACAACATTAAAAACATTTTGCCTCCAATCAATAAAGAGCCTTTAACGTGCGCACAAAAGGGTCTGTCGAGCGGCAGGCCGATTGTGGGCTTGGAAGAGAAAAACAGAGATTTACCGATGCATACGCTGGCGGGTGAAGGGCTGAACCCCCTTTGTGTAATTATCTCTCAGCCCCGACACACTAAAGGGCCAAAGTTAATTTTAAAAAGTTTGAGCAAATGCAAATTGAATATTCGATGGTGGAGTTTGTTCCAACAGCTCATAGAAAATGATTGCTTTGACTCATTCAATGTGCATTACTGCCTTTATTTGTGTACCTTTGAACTGCACAGTGCTTGTAAAAAATCTATAAGAAAAACAAACTGGGATGGGTTACTCCGCAAGCTGATATGAGTTACTTTGGTTTAACTGGTGATGTGAAGGATGATTGATTAAAAAGTCAAGTCAAATGCTAAATGAAATTAAATGTATATTTATTTTACATATTTATATGTTCATATAATAATTTGAAAATAAATACAAAACAATCTATAAAAACATTTAGATGGCATTTTTTATTAATATTTTCCACAAATTGAGAATTCATTAAAAATATGTATAAAAAGAAAGTAATTATATCAAAAATAAAAAAAAATCCTAAAATTAATCGTTCAAACTGTTCTTTAAAAACATTGTAAATAATGGGTACAGCAATGTTTAAAAAAAAAATAAACTCCAGCAACGACAATGTCATGGGTTCAATCCTTAAGTACACACATATGTTTCTCAAGTGAACTGCAAGTTGCTTTGGTTAAAAGTGTCTGCCAAATGAATAAATGTAAATGATATTATCTGATAAATATATTTAATTTTGTCAGTTAAAATTAACAGTTTGATCAAAATCTGTTCCTTGACTCGAGGTCACACTGAAATCAACTCAAATTCGTGAAACAAAGAAAGTGTTGTGTTCCTGGAACAGAATGTTTTTGGCACAGCCACAGAGATCAGCAGCAACACAGAAGCACCTGATCCCGAATCAGCTCTCGACCTGCTGTGGGAAAGCTTCTCTCAGGACAGCAGCCTTCATTACGCTGCAGGAATAGGTCGGCAGGGCCTGGAGAAACAGTGCAAACTACTGATTAAACCATAACCCTTTCACCAAGGTCATAAACAAGCCAACCAAATCCATAGGCAGTATGTGTGTGTGTGTGTACGTGAGCAATCGGCTCCTGTGAAGATTAAGTGGGCAGTGTTTAGCAAGGTGCCCGAGGACCAACAAAGAGAATTAAACAGCTACTTCTTGGCTCTGTATACTCGACTGATGTGAGACCTTTTCTAAGAAGGTGTTGTGCCTTTCTCTGGACATCTGTGCAAAATTTTCATGGACTTGCAATAGCTGCGATCGATATGTTTCACTTAAGGTGTGCAGGCTGGTCATCTGGCAGAGTCAGGGAAAGTCTGCCTCAGCAGCAGGAGGGGGCGCGATTGGGGCACTAACAGTAATAGGAGCTGGCACAGCTATTAGGCACTGCTTTCAAAACCAAAATCCCATCCATTGATGCAACATTGACAAGCACCATCATCCCAATGAAGACTGTGAGGAATGGACGAACTAGATGGATGACAAACGCATCAAAACTAGTAGGCAAAATAAGCGAGAAGCTATATATTTGATGTTTTTTTGTGTGAAAAATATATATTTTTACATACATATATATATCTATATCTATGTGTGTGTGTGTGTGTGTGTGTGTGTGGTCTCATGCTCATCAAGGCTGCATTTATCAAAATATAGTAAAAATCTGTAAAAATGTGAAATATTATTCAAATTTAAAACAATTTTAATACATTTTAAAATATGATTTATTCCTGTGACGCAAAGCTGAATTTTCAGCATCATTACTTCAGTCTTCAATGTCACATGACCCTTCAGAAATCATTCTAATATGCTGATTTGCTGCTGTGAAAACATTTATCATCATCATCAATTTTGGAAACAGATACACTGCTTAATATTTTTGTGGAAACGTGACATTTTTTCAGGATTCTTTAATGAATAGAAAGTTCAAAAGAACAGCATTTATTTGAAATAATAATTGTGCATCTGTTCCTTTTGATCAATTTAATGAGTTCTTGACGAATAAAAGTATTAATTTCTTTTTTTTATCTTACTGACACCAAACTTTTGAACGGTATTATTTCAAGTCTAATAATCTCCTTTTTTATGACTTACTTAAAAAGTACATTTTATTTGATCGAATGTATTGATACTCATAATATTTTAAGTGTGGATACAGTGTCTGGATACTTTTGCTTACAAATACCAAATACCTTTCCAAATACAATAAAGCTGAAAAACCAAACACATGGTTTTTCCAACAGCCCAAAAAGTCTTTCAAGCAATGACAAACATATGGTTATTTCACAGGATTTGCAAATGTTGCTGGCACTTGTCAGATGGGGTTAGGATCTGAGAGTCTCCATGCAGTTTCTCATTAATGCGAGTTGAAGGGTAAAATCATCTAACATTGGGATGTGTGACATTCTCCACAAGGGTAAAGGCCATTTTAAAAATAAAACAGAACAGATTGCTACCTCAGATGCAAGTATGAGCATTAAGCAGGCATTTTTCCCCTTATGCCTTACTTCTGTGCTTTTTCAGTCTGTCATTGATGGGCTTTTTTGGAGCTGAGCGGCTCTTTTTCCACAAATAGTCAGCGAACATATTGATGAATAACAAAAAAGGAGAGAAAACATATAAAATGTTCCTGCTAAGCTCCTATTGAATTAGCATAAAACAGCCACCCTCTGCTTTGGTGCAAGAGAGAAAGATGACAGACTTTGTGTTCACAAAATTGCTATTCAAATGTTGTTTTTCCACCCAGAAACACTGTGATGGAGACGCTGGATGGAAAAAATAAGAGCGAGGTGCTTAACCGTTAAAGCAAAGGCTGACTAAATATCACCATATACCTCAGACGAACATAGTAAACAAATGATTAAACCGTCATCAGCCGAGGACACATCAAAACAGCTATTATGTTGCCATGCTAAACAAAAGCATAGAGGGATGTCCTTAAAAGTACAATCTGCTTTCGTTTCATGTGACAGGCAACAATTACCCACGAGCAATAACAAAGCCTCTTCATATCTGTTAACTCCTCTCATATGTTTCAAACGCAAAGCTCTCTTTGCAGCCTCAAAGCTAATAACAGTGAAAGTGTCTGTTTAAGCAAAAATAAACCATTGAAGACAAGATTCGATTCTGTATCATATTATACAGTGGCACAAAAAAGTAGTAAACCATGTAAAAATGTTAAACGTCATTGCATTATATAATTGTTTCTTTTTTTAAAAGAAGGCAGAAGCAGACTTCTCCTAAAATCAAACTACTTTCAAATGCAATGATATTTTGAAGTAAGGCTGACGCATCAAAATACTGCCGATGCAGGTTTAAACCTGTCCTGCAACATACCTAATGCAACATGATTAAAAAACATTCATTAAAGCATTCATGAAGTCGGTAGGTTCATTCTGGAACCAATCACACATTCATCGCCAGAGTCTTGCTAGTCTCTCCAACCCAAGGCGCTTGACAGACAATATCAGCCTCACCGGTTCAATGGAGCAGGGATGTGTGTGTGTGTGTGTGTGTGGGTGTGTGTGTGTTGCATGATGTACAGAGTCTGATACGTCCAAGATGGACTGACTCTTCACAGCTGTAAAGAACCATCTGTTCCTCCATGAATGTTCTATGCTCAATGAAGAAGGAAGGGTAATATTGATTTAGTCATCCAAGAGTTAAATAACATCATGAAGTATTCATCAATGGTGCACTGAGCAGAGCACACGGGCACATCAACAGAACACCTTCACTAAAAAAAGAAAAATCTAAAAAGAACACAGTAGTCACACTTTTCACACGTGCACTGCACTTAGTGGTCAAAACCTAGCGCTGCACCACAATAATGAAAATCAAAGTACTGGTACACAAACTAAATATAAAACAATATGTATTATTATTATCATTAGTTAAAAGAACAACAATAATCATCATCTATCTATAGAATAAATGGTCATACATTTATTTTTAAATTCTTCGTGAACCGGAAGTTGTGGCCGACTTTATTTAAGTATTGTGTATGTATTTCCAACTGAAATGGAATATTGAAAAGAGGGCGGGGTTTCTCTCGCTCATAGCAAACTAACAGTTGGAGGGGCATGGTTAAGGATATTCTGCATTCAAATAATTGCAGCCTTGGTGAGCATAAAAAACTTTTCAACAGTAGTGTACACACAAACACACACGCACACAATTATTCCATCCAACCTACACCTGTAGACTTTTTTGCCAAGATATTAGAGCCAACATCCATCAAAGCATCAAACTTAAACAACCGATAAAAA